TAATTTTTATTGTATCATGATCTGAAAAGGATGCATTTAATATTTCTGCTCTCCCTTCTATCCCCCCTCCCTTTTCTTTCCCCTTTTCTCTCCTACTGCCTGTAGATTTCTATGCCTAACTGATTATGTTATCCCCTCCTTGAACCAAATCTGATGAGAGTAAGGTTCAAACAATGCTCATTTCCCTCCCTTCTTTCCCTCTACTGTCATAGGTTTTTGTGCCTTTTCCTGTAATGTACCCTTGTCTGCCTCCTCCTTTCCTTTTCTCCCAGTGCAATCCCTTAATTAGATCTGATTAATCCACTTACTTAGAGCCATTTAACCCATTTAATTAGATTTTTTTTTAATCAAAGTCAACTCATGCCCACTCCCTCTGTGTATGTATACCCCTTTAAAATGGTGTAATAACAATACAGTTCTCAAGAGTTACAAGTGTCATCTTCCCTTGCAGGGATGTAAAAAGTTTGCCCTTATTTATAACACGTTGTTTTTTTCTGTCCTGTTTGCCTTTTTATGTCTCTCTTGAGTCTTGTATTTGAAGATCAAATTTTCTGTTGAGCTCTGGTCTTTTTATCAGAAAGGTTTGGAAGTCCCCTATTTTATTGAATATCCATCTCCTACCCTGAAAGATTATGCTCATTTTTGATGGGTAGTTGATCCCTGGTTGTAATCCAAACTCCTTTGCCTTACAGAATATTGTATTCTATGCCCTATGATCTTTTAATGTAGAACCTGCAAGGTCCTGTGTAATCCTGACTGTGGTTCCATGATTTTTAAATTGTTTCTTTCTGGCTGCTTGCATTTTTTTCTCTCTCACCTTGTAATTTTGGAATTTGGCTACTATGTTCCTTGGTGTTTTCAATTTGGGATCTCTTTCAAGAGGCGATCAGTGGATCCTTTCTACCTCTACCAAGAAAATCCCAAGTGGGATCATGAAGATTCTGAATGCTGAAGATAACTGAACAGCATGTTTAGATCCTTATTCATTGTGTCTTCTCTGGCCTTTCAATTCCTTTGTCTCTTGGAAGTTCTTCTCTGCTGTATGCCCCTCCCTTGGGTACAGTTTAAAGAGGGTCTAGATTTCAGATGTTTCCTTCACTTTCAGGTTTAGCCCTCTTGTGATGATACTTGCTAGGTCTGACCCAAGAAAAGTAGGGTAGAGGGAGAAGAGCACCACTGGAGCCCGTCAAATTAGATCACCTGTGCAAAGTGCTTTGCAAACCTTCAAAGTGTGATATCAGTGTTAGTCACAGCAATGCTGCTACAGTTGTTATTAGTATCTTCATCTGTTTTGACGAGCTAAAAGAGGACACCATAGGTGAAACCCTTTGAAAGGTCCCAGAATCCACCTAGCCTTCTTTCTCCCTCTCCTCTCCCCAACTCTGAATCAACTGATCAATCAACTCAAGGAGATCTAGAAAGGAAGGGAAAAGGTTAAGTTTCTTTTGGTTACCATGCACAGAATCAAAGATACACACATATGTATGTGTTGTTATTGTTTAGTTGTTTCAGATCTTCCATGACCCCAGGGGACTTTTATCTTTCTTTATATAGTACCTGGCATATAATAGGTGCTTAATAGATGCTTATTGACTGACTGACCTCAGTGGCCCTCTAGTCCAGCCTGAAAGGAAAGGAAGTTCTACTATCACATCCTAGACTTGCTGTGTGACTCTGGGCAAGTGACTTAACCCTAATTGCCACACACACACACACACACACACACACACACACAAAATCACAAAAAAAAAAGGGAGGGCAGTGAATAGAGAACCAGCCCTGGAGTCGGGAGGGTCTGAGTTCAAATCCAGCCTCAGACACATGATACTAGCTGTGTGACCCTGGGCAAGTCACTTAACTCTGATTGTCTCAAGAAAAAAAAACAAAAAAGTAAACCTCCAAGGATGGAGAGTTCACTACCTTCCTTGGGAGGCAACCCATTCCACTCACTCTCTGCTGAGTTTTCCCCAAAATCAAGCCGGAATTGGCCACTTTGTAGCTCCCACCCAAACCCAATACATCTAATCTTTTCTCCAAAAGAGAACACAGGCCAACTTGTGCTAAGGCCAGACCCTAACACCTTGGTATCCTGTTTCCAGTAGACCCAGACCACAATCCAGGCTGATTTCATGAGGCGTTAGAAAACTCAGGCTCTTGGAAATTCCATTTAAAATAACTATAGACAATATAAAATACTTGGGAGTCTGCCTTCCATGACAAATCCAAGAACTGTATGAATTACAGAATAGTTACAATTACAAAACACTTTTCATACAAATAAAGACAGATCTAAACAACTGGAGAAATATCTATTGGTCATGGGGAGGCCGAGCCAATATAATAAAAATGAAAATTCTATCTAAATTAATTTATTTATTCAGTGCCACACCAATCAAATTACCAAAGAATTATTTAATAGAGTTAGATAAAATAATGACAAAATTTATCTAGAGGAATAAAAGGTCAAGAATAACAAGGGAATCAATAAGAAAAAGAATGACAGAAGGCAACCTAGCAGCACCAGATTTTAAACTATATCACAAAGCAGTAATCATCAAAAACCACCTGGTACTGGCTAAGAAATAGAGAGGTGGGTCAGTGGAATAGATTAGGTACGTGATACACAGTAGTAATTCATAGTAATGTAGTGTTTGATAAATCCAAAGATCCAAGATTGGGGGCAAGAACTTACTATTTGACAAAAATTGCTGGGAAAACTGGAAAGCAGTTTGGCAGAAACTAGGTATAGACCAACATGTCACACCACATGCCAAGATAAGATCAAAGTAGGCACATGATTTAGACATAGAGGGGACTATCATAAGCAAATTAGGGGAGCTTGGAATGGTTTACCTGTCAGATCTACGGATAAAGGAAGAGTTTATGACCAAAAAAGAGATAAAGAGGGTCACATGAAGTAAAATGCATAATTTTGATTACACTAAAGTAAAATGTTTTGCACAAACAAAACCAATGCAGCCAAGATTAGAAAGAAAGCAATAAACGGGGGGAGGGGGGGAAGACATGAATTTTTACAGTACATTTCTCTGATAAAGGCCTCATTTCTCTAATATATAGGGAACTGAGTCAAATAAGAACCATTCCTCAATTGATAAATGGTCAAAGAGAATTAACAGGCAGTTTTCAGGAAAAAAAAAACAACAAAGCTATTGCTACATGAAAAAATGCTCTAAATAATTATTGATTAGAGAAATGTGAATTAAAACAACTGAGAGGTACAACTTCACACTTATCAGATTGGCTAACATGATGGAAAAGGAAAATGACAAATGCCAGAGGAGATATGGAAGAATAGAGGTACAAATGCATTGTTGGTAGAGTTGTGAACTGGGTCCAATCATTCTGGAGAACAATTTGGAACCATGCCCAAAGCGCTATAAAACTGTGCATAATCTTTGACCTAGCAACACTACTACTAGGTCTGTATCCCAAAAAAGATTTTTTTTAAAAAAATGACCTATTTATACAAAAATATTTTTGGCATCTCTTTTTGTGGTGGCAAAGAATTAGAAATTGAGGGGATGCCCATCAGTTGTGGGAATGGCAGAACAAGCTGTGGTAAATAATTGTAATTGAATACTATGTGTTATAAGAAATGCCAAGCAGGATGATTTCAGAAAAACCTGGGAACTTACAAGAATTGATGCAAAATGAAGTAAGAAGAACCCAGGGAACATTGTACACAATAATAGCAACATTGTAACTATGATCAACTGTGAAAAGACTTAGCTACTCTGATCAAGACAAAGACCCATAACAATTCCAAAGGACTTAACCCTCTGATGCGGTTTAGGGGTTCAGGGGTGCTGGGACCCCAAAATCACAACACGTGGGTCCTGCTCGAAAGAATTCGACCCAAGCCTTCTTTCAGCCAAAGACAAGGTTTATTAGAACATCCATCACATTGGGCAAACTCTTAAGGAGTCTGAACATTAGTGAGCTATTGGCTTATTGGCTAGATTATAAAAATCTAAACAGTGGCTAGATTATAAGAATCCCAGCACCTTCATGGAGATGAGATGGACCTTATATACAGAAAGACTGTGGGAGGGATCTAGGAGCCACCAAGTAGTTTGGGGTGACAGGAGGAGGGTCCTAAGGAGATCTGGATGGTAGTGGCCAGTAAACTGCGGTGAACGGAACTCCTGGGACCTGGACAATGGAGCCCAGCTAGAATTAAGTGAGGGAAATGGCCAGGGGCCATAGGGAGGTAAAACAAGGGAGGGGAGGTTGGGTGTAGCTACAATGAAAGGCCAGTTGATGGGATTATAGCCTCAGGCGAAGGCCAGAGATTTGGCCAAGTGGGAAAGTCCAGGGTTTTTCCTTTCTGGGGCCCAGATCCCAACCTCATCACATTCACCTCCAAAGAGATAACTGATAATCAGTGTAGATTGAAACACACTTTTTAAACTTTGTTTGTTTATTTGATTGGCTTTCAGTCCGGTCCGATTCTTTGTGATATCACCAGGGGTTTTCTTGGCAGAGATACTGGAGTGGTTTGTCATTTCCTCCTCCAGTTCACTTGACAGCTGAGTAAACTGAGGCAAACAGGATTAAATGACTTGCCCAAGGTCACACAGCTAGTAAGCGTCTGAGGTTATATTTGAACTCAGATTTCCTGACTCCGGGTCAAGCGCACTACCCGTTGATTAAGAGAGAGAATTTGGAACTAAAAATATTCTTTCAATGAATGTTAAAAATAAATAATAGATTTATTTCTAAAAGAAAAGAAAATTCAAGCTCTTGGACTAGGGCCGGAGCAGAAGAAGCGAAGGGGCGGGTACAGAAAAGGGCTCCCGGCGCTCTTGATGCGGATTGGCTCGCTGGGACAGGACGCGCGGGCCCTCTGGGCCAATGGGGGAGCGCAGCGCGCGCACCACCGCCCCGCCCCCGCCCCGCCCCCTCCCCCGCCAGGTGGCCGCTCTAGCCTCGCAGGAAGTCTTCGCCTCGCCTCCTCTCTACTCACCCTGCGTCCCGGGCCTGCGCTTCCGCTTCCGGCCTCGGACCCTTAGTGCTGAGGGTCACATTGAGTCTGCGGCGTCCGCGGGAGGAGCAGCGGAGGCAGAGACAGCGACCGCGGCGGAAGCGACCTCAGGTGACCCCCCCTCTACCTCTGGATGTGCCGGAGCCCCCTTCCACACTCGTCTGAGTGCTGCGTGACCGCCCCGCACCCCGCCCTCGGCACCGGCCTCGGTGCTGTGCACCCCTGTAGACACCCCGCACCCCGCCCTCGGCACCGGCCTCGGTACTCTGCACCCCTGTAGACACCCCGCACCCCGCCCTCGGCACCGGCCTCAGTGCGATGCGCCCC